GTCCTGGCCTCGGCCCAAAGTGATGCTGACATGTCTGATGGCCTGTTTACCCCACCTCTCCTGGCCTGGGTGTCCAGTGGGTGGGTGGCTGGGGCAGCCTGGGCAGGAAATGGCAGCCGTGGAAGGGTTTGGAATGTTCCTCCCACCCTACACACACACAGCCGGTCCTGCTGGCAGCCAGTCCAGGACACGCCTCTGTCGGGCCCTAGACTCCTGCACCCTGACACCCCCTGGCTCCAGGACACTACTCACAGGGCAGGCTTTGATCTCATGCCCCCAGATAGAGGGTCCCCACTATCCCGTCCGCACCCCCTCTGTCAGTCCCTGCCTCTGCGGCAACTTGGTGCTAGGGCCAGCAAGGAGAGGGTTTGGGTTGGCTTTCAGCCAAACCCCAGAATGTGCCTGCTGGCCGCACGCAGCCGTTCCCGGAACAGGCGACAATGCACGGACTGTCTGGGAGCCGCGAGCGGATGGGCTGCAGACTGCCCAGAGGCTCACGTGAGGAGGGCACAGAGGCCCTGAGACAAGCGTGAATGGGCTTGGGGCGTCCAAAGACGCAGCAGGACTTGGAGCACACCCACCAGAGGCCCCGACCTGGGCCGTGGGCCTGCATGAGGTGTGGGGTGCAGGCAGCTGGGTGGATGTGCCAGAACAGAGACTCCAATACTCAAATTCAGGGACTTGTGATTCAGACTTTCAGGAGAAGGTGTAAGCCATGGGACCCTGAATCCAGAGAAGCATTTCAGTTAGGGGACATGTACCCTAACTGGGTATGTGGGGCCCAAAGCAATGGGTAGCGCAAAGTCACATGGACCCAGGTGGCCAAGCTCTTGGGCTGGTGGGGTTCAGACGCCATGGCAGGGGCTCAGACCCTCAGAAGCCTGGATAGTGAGCAGCAGCCCCCCTGGCACCACACAGGATAGGGGTGCAGGGGTGCTGGACAAGGGTGGAAATGGCTCTCATAGGCTATGACATCCACTGGCGAAGGGGCAGTGGGCATCCAAAGATGCAGTGGAACTGAGAACTGGCCCCCAAGGGCCCTGACCTGGGATGTGCCTACATGTGAGACAGGCAGTCAGGGTCCAGCTGCCAAAGGCCCTGATGATGAGGGATGAGCCGTGCAAACACTCAGGTGACCAGAAAAAAGGGAATGTGGGGCTCAGGTGGGGAGCACTGATGTTCACATAACCTCCCAGGGACCCTGGAGTGCCATTGTGGTGAAGTCCTCACCCCTTGGACATTTGGGAGAGTGGGGTGCAGGCTGCCCAGGTGCTCACAACGAAGGACTAGCCGTGAGTCTGAGCAGTGAGGCCTGTGAGACCTGAGCCCCTATGTGGGGATGGTCCAGACAGCAGCTAGACCTGGATGGCAGTGAGCAGCTCACACATGCCAAGGGAGGCCGTGTGTCTAGACACCAGGCGAATGCAGGTCAGACTCTGACTGTGCCCAGGTGACAAGGGCACCTTTACAGACATACACACTGTTCCCAAGTTCTGGGAGGATTCTGGGTACCAGCTGTACCCAGGAAAGAGGATGGGAGGATGGGAAGCCTCAGAAGGCAGAATAGGGGACAGGCGAGTCCCATGGGCTCAGATATTCTGATGCCTGGGGAACAAGGTGCCCAGACATTCAGAGTTCCGGGATTCACATCATCTGGATAATCAGACATACCAAGTCCCTTGCTTATCCATTATCCGGGTAGTCAAGTGAGTAGGGTTCAGGCTGCAGAAACACCAAACTGGACTAGAAGCCACTCTGATCCTCCAAGAAGTGGGGTGTAGGCCCCAGGGTCCCAAGACAGTCTGCATCCATTTGGGGGATGGAGGGCATCAGGCTGGGGTCCTAGGTGATTGTGCGGTGGGATATAGAACCCAAATACTCAGACTAATGGAGTATGGAGACTCGGACACTCAGATTAAAGGGGTGTGGGATCCAGGCATCAATGAGTGGGGGGTCTGGTTCTTCCCAGCCCGGTTGGGCTGCCACTGGAATGCTGCAGGAATTCCAGCATTCCATGCAGTGCAGAGCCCTAGAACACCTGGGTGGCACTGGTGAGTGACAGCCCAGCCCAGGAAAGAATGGCACAGAGAATGAGACAGGATGAATGGGCTCCTATGTCCTGGAGAAGCTGCAAGAACAGAGTACAGGCCTGCTTGTGATGTGTCTGTGGGGGGTTCAGAGCATCCGATCAGTGGGGTATGGAAGTCCTGGTACTCTGGCAATGACAGAGTGGAGCCCTAGGACACAGGCGAAGGGAGTGACACCCAGGCTTGGGCCTGTGGGGAGAAGGCTGCAAGGGTACCTGGGAGCTTCTTGGGTGTGGGGCGAGGGTGCTAATGCCAGGAGTACCCCGACCGAATGGGGCTGGCACGAAGCTGGGCAGGTTGGAGGCCCTGACCACCAGGTGCACCGGGTAGCCATGGAGAAGAGGGGCTCAGAGAACCTCAGTGAGCTGACTGGGGCCTGTCTGCCAGTCATGTGGCCTAGATTCCAGGTGAGGGGGTATTCTCCTAGATATCCCCAGAATATGGATGCTGCTTCAGATGGGGGGAGGGTGCAGTGCAGGGAACTAGCACCACAGTTGTAAAAGGAGAGGTGTATAGCCTCCGCAGTGCTCAGGTGGTGGGGTACATCCTCCCTGGTGCTCAAGTGCTCAGGTAGTCGGGTGCAGCCTCCCCGATGCTTGAATGATGGGGTAGAGACTCCCTGGTGCTCAAGTGCTCGGGTAGTGGGGTGCAGCCTCCCCGATGCTTGGGTGGTGGGGTGAAGTCTCTCCAGGTAAGGAAAGCCTGTGGGGTACTAGGGCATGCACAGACTAAGACGCAGAGAATGAGCCCAAGTGCATCAAACTGTAGAGCCTGCCGTGCACCCATTTTCAGCTTTCCCTGGCCCCAGCTGAAGGGGTGCCCTGGCCAGACTGTGGAGACCCACTTGTGTGCCAGCAGCTCTCAGTCCCCC